CGAAAAAATAAATTAACTTTTCCATAAAAAAGTCATTCAATTTTACTATTGTTTGAATTTTAATAATTAATATATATTATGTATATAAATATAGAATGTTCATTGTAATTTATTACTCCAAATGTGTTTATTTAAATTAAAATATGAAACGCCCTTTTTTATGATTTTATACTATCTAAATAAATGGTTTTAAATTAAATTTTAAAAATAATCTTGTAGTTTACAATTCTTATTATTTTATTTAGGTACCGAAATTTAAAAAAGTCAAGCTTTCATTTTCATCATTTTGTATCTTTAACATTGTGTGACTTATCCAAAGCTTTTGACTGTGTTTCGCATGAATACTATTGAAAAAAGTGCATTAATACGATATTGGGGGAAACACTCTTAATCTATTTAAATCATACCCAAGAAATAGAAAACAGGCAATTTTTCTTAATAACAGCTAATCTGAGTTTAATACTGTCGAATATGGGGTACCTCGAGGTTCGATATTAGGACCCACTTTGTTTCTTATTTATCTGAACGATTTATTTCACTATACTTTTCACTATAGCAGAAAGCCCAAAACTGGTTTGTACATAATGAGCTGAAATTGCATGATCACGATACAAGATCTTCCTCTTCTTCTAACTATTTATGTCGTCCACAGATACTGAAAAATCATTTTATACTTATAGCACACGTTTTCGATTACTCAATTGTTTCACCTCAAACAGTCAACATACCCAAAACTCACAGCAAATAGATGCTGGAATCGTGCATGCGCAAACACTTAACAGTTGACTTAAGCCTGTTTGGAAAAGAACAAGGCATGACTAAAGCACTTTTGGAAAACTGATTTTTGATTTTTGAAAACTGATTTTTGTAATCTGTATAGTATACTTGACTTAAGCTGTTATGTCATGAATTGTTTTTTTAATGTTAGAATTGATGCTCTAGAATCAGATCCAACTAAAACCGCAAAATGTGAAAAAATGACTTAAGCCCTTTTGGCATCCACCTCTTCAATTGTTTAAAAAAAAAACAAAGCAAAATCAGCTGTACGTCGTTAAGAATTTGTCATCAAATCGAAAATCATACATGTATTTATAAAATGACGGCTCCAGCAGTCATACACGAGTATAGATAACGGCTATAACAGCTTTGTTTTAAAAATTATACAAAGTTAAGAAAAAATTTAGGTTAGGTTTAAATTTCAAATTCTGGTGCATCTTCAATTTGGTGCATGTACCAAAATATTGAAAAAGCGTTCTCCAAAATTTTAAATCCCATAAATTTGACTATAACCTACTTTGCTAATTATTTGTTATAAGTGATATACTTCATTCAATATAACAGCCCCTTTGTAACAGTCACTCGCGTAACGAGCTCTACACATTGATTAATACACATTAATATGACGTATAACACCTGGCTAAATTAAAAATCATCAAACATTAATGAACATTGTGTAATTTTGGCTGTCAGATTTCCTGAAAAATGCCAGAGGTACGGCTGAAATAATTATATCGCTGCTATCTGCTGTGGAAAATTAATGAAGCAGCCATGATTTATATCTGAGCGTCATTAATTCGGGTTTACACTTATCTCTCTCAAAACAAATGGAGTAGTTACCGAGACTAAATTCAACCTAAAGGAATTACTCAATTTGAAGAACTTTCTCGGTTAATCAATAAAACATGACTGTGCTAAAATGAGTTGTGTTCGGAGATTTTGAGGTAATTAGCGAGACAGAACTTTAAATTACTAGTTTAAAATTTTGATGAGAATATTCATTTGGAAGGATGTTTTAGAAACTTTAAGAAAATACCTGTGCGTCATGTTTTTGTGCTTTTAAATACATCGACTAAACTGTTTTGGTAGAAATTTTTTAATTTGTGCATTTATTATAGTAATCAAAATATTAAAAAATGTATCTCCTTCAAGTTCAATCTTCTATCGAAGGTTGGAAATCATCATGGCTATGCTGACCTTATTGGCCACAGCTCTAAATAGCTTTGCACTACGACATTCAAACTATTCCCTTAAGTTATTAAGCAAGGATATTCTTTGTCTTCCCACATTTCGCTTTCTTCGAATTTGGCCTTTCATAATAAGTTGTATTAATGAATAATCTTAGTGTCTGTGAGGGTGATTGTAGGAGTGCACAAGAGGAATTTGGGAGATCTTTGCCAAGCATGTACGGGGGTTACCAGCCATACAGTAGGAACGGCTCTCAATCAGCGTTTTTGATGATTCTAAAATATCAAAATACTCATCAGGAAGTTCATGTCAAGTATTGTGGAGAAGTTTAGCTGGAGGAAACGGAACTTTTCTTTTAGGAAGCCTGGTGAGTATTTGCCCTCGGCCATTGCAAGGTGTCTTTAATGTTCGTTTGGCTCTATTGTTCAAGCCAGCAATGGTTCTGAGGACATACTTCCTGCTGAAGGATAGGATTCTGTCCTTAATTGGTGGAATATTAGGAAGTATGTGTATGTATGCCGATGGATGTAGCCTGGTCTGCCTCATGCAGAATCTGAGGATTTTTCTTTTGGTTGCCAGGATGGCATTAATTTCATAGGTCTTCAGAGAGACATAGATGCAAGCCTTGTATTCGATTATGGTCTGATAACTGGGTCTTTGCCTGTTTACCGGACAACACTGCCAGGAGTTTAAACCTCCTTCTCACCCTATCAATGGTATCTTGAATGTCGGTTTTCCATTTGAGAGTCCTGGTAAAATGAACTCTCAAATAGGAAACCGAGTTTCTGAGAATAAGGTCCTTTCCTAACAGAGTTATTCGGTCCCGAACAACGCGACAATTAAAAGTTTAAATAAAATTAGTTGGGTTGTGCAGGGATTTATGGTCACTCTCCATTCATTGCACCACCTAATGAGTCTATCAAGGAAGTTTTGTGCTCTTTCGAATACAGACTGTCGTTCATGCTCTCTGTGTGATCCTGACGTGAGGAGAGCGGTGTCATCAGCATATAGTAGAAGGGACTCATAGACGATCTATGCTGTGGGCGGGGGATGTTACTGTTGTAGACTGTGTATAATATTGGTGCAAGTATTGAGCCTTGGGGTACTCCAGCTAGTGGAGTGAAGGGTGTGGATAAGTGTTCTGCTACTCTGCAAGGTTGAGTTTTTCGATCGGGGCTGTGTGCCAGACCTGATCGAATGCCTTCTGGGCGTCTAGGATGCCTATGACGTGGTTTCTTTCGTTAAGTGATTGCGAAATGAAAGTTGTTGCTTCAACCGATGTATCTTGGGTGGAGTGTTTAGCTCTGAATCCAAATTGGTAATCTGAAATAACAAGGTAAGCGTCTAGGAATTCTACGAGTCTTGCCTTAAGGATCCTCTCGTAGACTTTACCTAGAGTGCTCAGTAGAGAAATAGGTCTGTACGATTCAGGGTTGGTGAAGGGTTTCCCTTGTTTGGGAATCATGACTGTGCTGCAATAATATAATATTGATTATATTAGTGAGCAGCGGGATAATATTCTCTGGAAGATTTTTGAGGCATCTTCTGTGGATGCCATCGGGGTCAGGAGATGTGCTTTTTCCAATGTTACACATCTGCCTGACGGTGTCCTCAGTCACAGGGGCCATAATCGGGTGAGGATGCGACCCACCAGGTGTCTGAGGGTAGTAGAATATGTTTTTCACTCTCCGTTCAGCTGCTCTTTTGGATCTTTCGCTAAAGTTGTGGTTATTAGGGAAAATGAGGGCGGCCTGTAGTGTATTTTTGAAGGCTTTTGCCTTATCTTGTGGATTGTTAAGGATGATATTGTTAACTGTTAGATAAGATCGTGGCTGATTTTTTTGTTTCGTTAGGACTTTATTCTAGAATACAGCACCCTCCTGGTAATCAAGGTCGGCTATGACACGCATCCGCTGTTTTTGCTTTAGCCTGTTCTCTTCCAACCTTATAGTCGCCGAGAGTCTGTTGTACTCTGTTTTGATTAGGGGATCTCTGAATCTTTTATACTCTCTGATCATTTTTCGTTTGGATTTAATTTGTGAGATGATTTTGCGTGGTAAAGTTGGAGTATATGGATTGTATCTCGTTTTTGGGATTGCTAGAGATGTGGCTTCTTGGAGAAATTTCTCAATTTTGGAAATCCCTGTGTCAACTTGATTGTGTGTTGACATGTTGCTCTGGGAGGTTTTGATTGATGTACTCTTGGAAGAGTTCCCAATTTGCTTTACGAGAATCTGTCTTATAGATAACAGGTCTTATTGGTGGAGGTGAGTTAAAGTCAGTTTTGACTAAGAGTGGAAAGTGGTCAGAGGTTATTGAATCACCAATGAAACATTCATCATAGATCCTATCTAGAAAGCTATTCGTGCAAAGGATATGGTTGACAACGGACATTCCATGGTAATTGAAAAACGTGACCTCATTGTTGGTGATTCTCGAAATGGGCAGCTCTAGAAGAAGGTCTGAGAGCTGTCTGCCGTGAATGTTAATGTAGGTATCACCAAATTGCGTGTGCCTGCTGTTTAGATCGCTCATTAGAACAGCCTTGTCGAGTGTGGAAAAGTACTCAACTAGGGGTAAGGAAAGGGGTGTATTTGGATGCTTATAGTAGGAGATTATCGTAATTTCGATGTTGTTAGGTAGGTGTAGGTCAACTCTCAGATAGTCGATGTCACGGAGCTGGTCTAGGATGTCAGGAGGAGGTGTATGAGGTGAGGAGGGTATGCTGTGTTGGATCAAAAGACCGTTGCCATGACTGGCCTGGCTTTTCGAAATTACCCTTTTTTTATACACTTTATATCGTATGGAAATGTGCGTTTACAAGTCCATGAGCCAGTGGTAAATTGAATAGTACATTAAAGTCATTGACAATGACTTTAATTCATAACATGCTTTCTCACATACAATATTAAGTTATCATTGTTATGTTCTTTACACTTACTAACTTTATAAATATTGGTGTCATTGCAATAAAAATTACTTCTGTTTTTTTACTCGGAAGTGTAGATAATTAAAATATTTTTTTTCTTTTGCAGGTCTAGGAAAACACATCCTGGTGCGATAGTACATTTAAGTGATAATCCATTAGATGCTAGTAAAGTAAGTTGTTTGCTATTTTATTTTCTTGAAAAATCGTAATTTTCTTTTAATTTCAGTTATTAATAGGATTTGAATCGGGTCTTGTAGTTTTGTGGGATTTAAGGAATAAAATGGCCGATATGAGGTGGTCGACTAGTGAATTGAGATCCGTCGCGTGGCATCACGAAGGAAAGCAATTCATGTGTTCACATACGGATGGTACCTTGACAACGTGGAGTTTAAAGTCACCATCTAAGTACATCCACATTTCTCAACCTCACGGTAACTCTTTTTTGAAATATATTCAAGGATCTTAATTAACATTATTACGTTTTTAGCGAAATTTAGCAAAGACGGAAAACCTGAACAATGTAAAGCAATTTCTAAAGTGGAATGGAAATCATCTCGGACAGGGTAAGTTTATTAAAGAATTATACCAAAATTATTACTGTAAATGTAAAATTAAACCAATGAATTGGGAAATACAGAACAAATAATTAATATGAGTTATTTCTGAATCATAGTATTTTTTCTCTGTTTATTCCGTCTGCTTTCGGAAACCTAATCGCCATTCGGGGTTGGAAGAAACAAGCTAAGAGAGGCTGATAGAAAAGATTAAAGACATTTCACTCAAGACAAGTTGAAAAAAAGTAAAATATGAAGGCGCTTATGATTCGCCAGGTGCGTTTCATAAGAATATCATCATATACAATTCGCTTACCTTCACTTCTGTAGTATTTAATATTGTCTAAATACTTATAACTTAGAGCAGGAATAAGAGGACTCACACTTCCAGTCCACTTGTATACCTCTTTAAGCGTTTTCTGTAAAATCTTCAATAATACACGTCTTATGAAACAATCTTCCGTGTAAATTGTATTTCCAATGAACTGTTTGTCATAGTCCCTCGAATCTGTCAGAGTTGCTTTCCGTTTAACACTGGAAGTTCTTGTGAATTATTTGAATCTGCTTTTGTTAACATATTTGCTTGTTGAATTATTCTACTATACGTACAGATATTCCAGTATCTTCGCACATATGGTGTTATATTGTTTTGATTGACTTCGGGAAACAGTGTTTATATAATGCAAACTATCTATATTGGTATTATGTAAACTATCCTTTTGGATTCCGGTATTAATCTACTCTATTTACTTGTACTACACTTAACCTTCTTCATTATATAACATAGTTTTTAATACGCGTTTTCACCTTGTTTTATGAGGCTGGAAAACATGCACTGAATTACAAATTCGTTTCAAATCCAGTGGTTAGAAAATCTCGACAATAATTCTTATCAGTTGTTTCTATATTCTTAATGAGTATATAAAGTGGTTTTAAAATAAAACAATCTTCGTTAAGCAGAATTCATTTATATATATATATATATATATATATATATATATATATATATATATATATATAACAAGCGAGTCTTCTACAGCTGGCGCCGCTTCTCGCATCCTAATTTCCAGCGTTTTCTGTCGAAGCAATCTTCAGTTGTTAGATCTCTGGCGGTCATTGCATCGTCGACATCGTCTCTCCAGGATCGTCTTGGTCTACCTCGTTTTCTTCTAGTTGGCGGAGTCCATTCTTCTATTTTTTTTTGGCCATCTATTTTCCGGTATTATCTGAAGGTGTCCATACCAGTTAAGTCTTTTGGCTTCCATTGTGTCTATTATGTCCAGGTCGATTTCCATTTCTCTCCGAATATCTTCGTTTCTTACCCTATCAAGTCTAGTGAGCTGACAACTTCGTCTCCAGTAGTTCATTTCCATGGCCTTAAGTTTTGATTTGTTTCTTTGGTTTATTTCCCAGAGTTCGGCGCCGTACAGTCCAATACTTTGTATTATTGTTTTATAAATTTTTCTTTTATTTTCTTTTGTTATTTTTTTGTTCCATAATAGTCCGTGTAGCTGTCTGGTGGCTGATCTTGCTTGGCCAATCCTGGAATGTATTTCTTCGCTAATTCTTGCTTTTGATGTTATTTGGACTCCCAAGTATTTAAAATTGTCTGTTGGTTTTATAGTTCCCATTTCCATTTCCCATTATATAGTTTTCGATTTGTAGGCTTTCTGGTTTCTCTCCTACAACTAAGTACTCAGTTTTTTATATATTAATTGTGAGGCCCCATTTGGTGTATTCATCTTCCAGTTTTCTAAGCATGTATCCTACATCACTCTCGTCTTCAGCTAGAATGGCTTGGTCGTCAGCGAAGTGTATCGTGTACAATCTATCATCTCCGATTGGGATGCCCATATTACAGCATTTTCTTCTCCACAGTGAAAGTGCCCCATTTATATATATTTTGAAGAGTCTAGGTGCTATGCAGCAGCCTTGCTTTAGGCCCTTACTAATAGGAATTTCTCTAGTTAATCTATTTCCAGTTTTAATGTTTACCGTCATATTTTTGTAGAGCTGTTGTACTGCTTGTATATTTTTTTGCTTATTCCTTGTTTTTTCATTGCTACCCAAAACATTGAAAGTGGTACACTATTGTATGCCTTTGTCAGATCTATAAAGACTATATGAGTTGAAAGGTTGTGGGCTAATCTTTTCTCGATAACTCATTTTATTGTTTAACTTTTTGTTTGAATTCATTTGTTGTTTAGATAAATAATACAATATTTTAAATACAAAATATTTTTCTCAAATTGTTTAATATTGCAGCGCCACTACATAACTATTTCTTTTTTCATTTGAAACTAGGTTTACTCTATAATGTTGTATTTGTTTTTTAGGGAAGCATATGTGATATTTTCTGGTGGAATGCCTTATGACCAAGCTAGTAGAACACCTTGTATAACTGTTGTATATAGCAAAACTACTACCGTTTTAGAAATGGAACATAATGTTATAGACTTCATTACGCTTTGTGAATCTCCATATACTAGCGGTAAGTTAAAACTATCTCATTGTTACAAAAATCTATTTTCAATTATATACATTATAAACAGTGCCCAACTCAAATTAAAGTAATATTAATATAAAATAACTTTTATATTAATATCATATAAGGTGATTTTTTATTTTGAAATCTATTTTAGTATCATCCTAAAAAAATATTTAATTATCTCTATCAATTTCTTCTCATGTCGCTAATATTTTAAAAGAAACCCAACTTAAATTTCTAAATAATTTTAATTTCTGGTGAAAGCGATACTTTGCAGTATTTTTGCTATAGATTTGTTTGTTATTGCTACACTATAAAAATAATGACTTGTTTATATTTAATCATTGAAATAGCAATAAGAAAAAGAAACACTAATAATTGTATATTGTTATTCAAAATAAATTTTTATAGCAAAACACTTTGAAATCAAAAATAAAAACAACATTTACTATTATAAATGTGTTTTTAAAAAATTTTATCTATATTTTTTTCAGAACTACAAGAACCATACGGAATCATTGCTCTTCTTCAAAACGATCTTGTAATAATGGACCTCCAAACTCCAGGTTTTCCGTGCCTGGAAAATCCCTATCCTATGGATATTCACGAATCGCCTGTTACGTGTTGTAGTTATTTGGCTGATTGCCCCGCCGACCTCATTCCTGCATTTTATTCCGTAGGTAGGGCGGGAGCGATGAAAAGAACAGGGTTCTCCGAAATGGATTGGCCCGTAAACGGCGGGACATGGCCAGCTCATGCGTGTACTTACGCCGAAATAATCATGACCGGGTAAGCATTACAATCTAATAACAAAACTAGGATTAAGCGGTTTCTATATCGGAAAACCGTAACGTAAACGAATCCATCATAAAATTGTTTCACTGTCTTGAGTTTAAAAGCGGGGACCAAGGATTTAGTATGAAGTTAACGTGAGACTTACTCTTTTATGATTATATATACAGAGTGGACCAAATACCTTGAAACGCCCAATTATTTCTTAAATAAATTACAGTAAAACCTCCCTTAACCGAAACATTGTTTAACTGAAACGGCTGACAGTTTCAAGAATTTCGTCAATAAAAAGTAAATTTGTATAGCAAAACGTAAACAATTCCATTAATTTTCCTCACCGATTGATGCCTATGTGTGTTGGGAAATCAAAAAACCAAGAGCTCTAAAAGATAGTTGAGAAAAAGCAATTCTAGTTTTTTATAAAAGCCAAAAAAGCTCATGGATGTTGACCATTTTATTTTCAGAATGGTTTGAAAATGAATTCATCCCAAGTGTAAAATCCTTTTTAAAATAAAAAAACCTTCCCACCAAAGCATTGTTGCTTGTTGACAATGCGCCAACGCACCCTCAAAATCTACACAATAGTGATAATTGTCAGATTTTTATTGATGAATTAATCCAAAAGTCTTCACGAAATTATCAAATGTTGAACAATGAAACATGTTGTTTATCGGTGTGCTGAGTTCTGGGCCAAGATCAACTCTTCAACTTTGGAAAAATGCTGGAACTTACTTTTTGATTGGATTTTGATTGAAGATCGTGAAGAAGAAAATGGTAAAGAAACGACAGAAGAAATTAAACCTTTAATAAAAAATTTGCCGGGATGTAACGAAATTAACCAAGAAGAGATACGTGAGTGGTTAGCAGCCATTGACTCAGAAAGTGAATTCATCGACCAGGACATTATTGATATGGTTCTTCGTCCAGACAACCTGAGCATATCAGACGACGAAGGTGACGACCCAACAGATAACAGGAAGCATGAGACCGCCGACAAGATTTATAATGCCTTAAGGATAAGAATTTTATACAGGACACCTAATTAGTTAGGGACAAGACCAGGTCTTTACTAGAACTCATAGAAAAGGCAAACTCATGACGCAAAACGCAAAAGAAAATAAAAGATTTCTTTAAAAAAGCATGTTTAACTTATTCATTTTCCTTAATTTTATTACTTTATTCTGTATTCACTTATTAGAAAACATTACGAAATTACCTCATAGTATTTTTTATTACCAATACTTTAACCAAGAATACTATAAAAAACAATGTTATTTTTAACCGAAATTCTTGTTATCCGAAGCGGCCTCCCCCCCCCCCCAATTATTTCGGTTAACGGAGGTTTTACTGCATATAAAACAGGAATGCCCCCTCATCATTAACCCTTTGCGGACGGACTTTTTTTGTTTATATTAAATGGTGAATAATAAGTTTTTAGGACATATTAGGGCAAAAATAGACATCAAAGGTTTTGTATATCCCTTTTTGTGATTATTAGCAAAAAAGGTGGTACCCTGTGGAACCACTAGGCCACAAACGAAAAAATTATTTAGCGTGAAATGGAATGAAACCATTTTTTTTTTCAGATAGGCATAAACCTGCTTTACATGTAGTACAGTGCCATCTTGTACGATGAGGAGTTGCCTTAGGAGAAGTATGTACAACGTACTTTGGCTCCATGCTGAGGCATATGGTCTGCTTTGTCAGTTCTTATTTCTAGAGGAACTTGTTTT